AATGAAATAAATAATACAATTGAGACCTTAAATAGTAGAGTAGATGAAGCAAAAGGATTTTGCAACTTGAAGAGATGTCCTTTTAAATAACAGCAATATAAATTTAAAAAGAAGAAAAATAAAATGAATGAAGAAAGCTTATAAAATTTATGAAACATTATTAAGGGAAAACATTTAATTATTGGAATTCCTGAAGGAGAAAAGATGGGGAAAATCCTAGAAACCCTATTTGATGAAATAATAGCTGAAAACATCCTAAGACTTGGGAGAAATACAAACATCTAGATCTAGAAAGCTTAAAGTGCCCAAGTGGATATAACCAAAAAAGATCCTCTTTGAGGTATAGTGTAGTCAAATTATCATATGTTAAAGACAAAAACAAAATTTGCAAATTAGAAAGAGAAAAGGGTTGAGTCACATAAAAAGGAAATCACATTAGACAAACATCAAATTTCTCAGTCAAAATCTATAGGCCAGGAGAGAATAGGATGAGATACTAAAAGTGCCAAAAGAAAAACAAAATTAAGAAAGCACAGCAAAGCATCCTTTAGGAATGACATGAAATTAAGCCTTTTTTAAACAAGCAAAGTTTGAGGAAATCCATCACTATTTGATGGGACTTAAAATGCTTGAGAGGATACTACATTTGGAAGCAAAAGTGTAATAACTCAATCATTAAAACAACTAAAATTATAAAACTCATTTCCCAGCAGATACACAAATAAGAAAAAGATATGGATTAAATTTAATCACTCCAGAAATCCTAAAAACCACAAAGATGATATGACAGAAAGGAACCAAGTTTATACAAAATAGCTAGAAACCAATTAACAAGGTGACAAGAATAAAATATTACCTTTGCATAACAACCTTAAATGTAAATGGATTAAATTCCTCTAATAAAAGATAGAGACTGGCTAAATAGATAAAAAAAAATAAGGACCCACTACAGGCACCCATAATGAACTAACTAAAAAAGAAATAAAGAAAAAAATCTTACTTCCACCATAATAGGTCTTTCAAACAAATCAAGACTACCAAATGCATGCTATAAGGTCAGAAGCAATCTCATTTACAATAGCTATACAACTTAAATAAAATACCTAAGAATAAAGTTAATCACGAAGGTGAAAAAAATCTCTACAACTGAAAACTATAAAATATTGATTCAATAAATTGAAGAGGATATTCAAAAATATGGAAAGACATCTCACATTCATAGATTAGAAGAATTAATATTGCAAAAATATCTATACTACACAAAAGGTAATACAAATTTCACATCATACTGAAGATTTTCATCTAAGCATCAGGAAAAGAAAAAAATAAATAAAACATTAGCTTTGGTAAAGCGTTTGTAAATATGATAATATTTGGAAATTACTTTTTTGTCTATTGAGTAGTGCTACAAGAATACCAATTAAGAAAACACACAAAACTCCATAACTTAAAACTTAACATTCCTAGTTTGCAGCTGGCTGTCACGTGGTTAAGCCAACCAGGACTCAGAGTGAGAAAAGTGCTATAGAAGAAGAAAAGAAGATTCTACTGATGTGGTGGTGGAACACTGTACTGTACTGCTGCCTGTAGAAACATGAAAAACAGAATATATCCCTGATGCACCATCAAAGGAGGGTCCTAGGTAGAAATATGAGGATGGCTCCAACTTCTAACTGCTTCTAGTAAAATTCAACAAGAAACTGAAACATGCTAAAGAGAGAACAACAAAAAGTTGAGGAAGCAGTGCTTGTTCAACTTAAAATATAAATATACCTCTCATTTATAGCCTCTTCAGATAAGAAAATATGCTGAAGTTAAGAAACATGAATTCCTGGAGAAATCAAAGACAGATATCCGTGGGGAATATGTAATCAAAGATGAAAACAGAGATGGGATTCTAAAACACTCGGTTGAAATCACAGAACTATTTAAAATTGTTTTTATCATGTTTTAACAGACACAGACTTCAAGACGATTAGGGAGATTTATGAAAATCTTGCTCTGAATAATAAGACTTGTAAGAGTCTATGAGGTGGTGGTTCATTGCCTCTGTACAGAGATCCTCTGGGGGAAAAAAGAGCATAGTTCAATGATATTTACCTAATAGAATATACCCCAAAATATTTAGGAAATTCACCAAAAAAAAAAAAAAAAGTACAAGGTCTATATCAGTTTAAACAAAAAGGAACATTTGAAATGAAAAGCAATAGTCTTTGGACCTCCAACCTTCTATGAAAAGAATCAGGCTGAAAAAACTACTAACTAGGGACACATGCTATGGCTTGTGGGGAAAGAATGGAGAGCTCAGAAAACACACTCAGAAGCCCAAAGGGAGAAACCAGAATCATGGAAAATTACTCCCAGAAGGAGAACTGGTGACAATCAAGGAATGTTAACAACATATACCTAAGTGGTTTCAAGACTGCTGTAGAAGAGTCACTCCTGTGTGCATCCAATTTCTCTTCTTTCTGAACATAAACAGCTGTTGGGGTTATCCCATGTCTGACACGCTATTCTACCTTGGTGTTGTGGGGAATGAAGTGGTAGATATGGCAGAAAGATCAATACAGTGGAAGGAAGGGGCTGGGCAATGGAGGAAAGGAGGAAAAAGGGGAGTACTAGGACTAAATTAGAGCCAATTATATTCCATGCTTTTATAAACATGTCAAAACGAACCACAATGTTATATATAAATAAAAATAACCAACACAATATGAAAATTAAAACAATACAGCTTCTACTTAGCTCACTTTCTTGGGACTCATGCTCTTTAGACCTCTGAGCCAACATAAAAAATTCCATTACCCTGAAGTTAGCATGCTTGAGAGAGCATATGGAGATCATATAAAAAAAGAGAGAGATGTCCAAGGAGAGCACCCACCATTTTACCCCTCCCCCACTGTTCAAGATATACCAAACATGTAAGATCCTTTTCTATAACCAGCACCAACCAATTTCTGACTGAACCCGATACTGTAAGATAGAAGTACCCAGCTGACATGCTTATAAATTCCTGAACCATAGAAACCACCTTATATAGTAACAGGTTGGTATTGTGGGCCACTAAATATTATGGTGATTTATACACAGCAATAGTATCTAAAATTCTACAGCAAATTAGGTATTATGGTATTGGCTCACAAATAGATAAATTAAATGAACAAAACAGAAAATAAAGAATAAGAATTGTTATATAGACTTTTAAGTATGAAAGGGTAGCATTTCAGTGTATTGGAATCTGGCTGTTCAATAAACATCCTGGGAAAATTAAACACTTTTATAAGAAAGTAAAGTGTGTTTTCATCTCATACCATATAGGAAAACTCAAATATAAGGGATTAAATTTGAAAAGCAAAACTTGAAATTTTTAGAGGAAGTTAACATCATATACGACATGGCAAGGAAGAACTTCAAGAACACAAGGGCTTTCTTCTGAGTCCAGCTTCTTCATCTCTGCCCCATGAGCCCTTTGGGTCCAAGAACTCAATTGTCTTCACACCTGTATCCAGGTGCCAGATTCTCCAATTCCAATAATTGCAAAGTTTTTCATTCTCTGTATTGGATTCCTTTCTCATGAAAATAACCAGAGTACTTTTTATTTTATCCTTTAAATAGGAAATGAAACTTCATACTGGCTTTTACTCCACATATGCTGAATAACTGGAGGTGTTAATATTGCTAATTACCTCAAGTAAATCCATTATAAGTTGAGAAAAGGATGGAGAAAGAAAAGTCAGTTTTTTCATTGTACATGTTAGATGTAGACTTTTCAATAAGGCCTAACATGTAATGCCAGAGCTTTTTAAAAAAAAATTGTCTTTGAAACACAGCGTTAGATCTTCAAATGTACTACAGAGCAAAGACAGAGAAACATCTTAGATTTACCATTCAAGTCAAAAAGAAAATACAATTTATAGAGAATCAGAAGGGAATTCATTGTGTAAAATATAACAATCTGTTCCCAAACCATTTAGTATTCCTTGTGTTAAAGCATAAATAAGTGCTCCCAAAGAATTGGATTTAATATAGGCAGGTCTGGCAGTTCCAATGTGGTTTGCGATATTTAAATAAGTTTTATTTCTATTGAAAGAACCCAGTTGATCTGTATATATACAATGGGGTTGAACAGAGTCTTCAAAAGTTGGTCAGAAGCTACAAATTCAACCATTTGCTACATGAGCATCTTACCTTCATATGGTACAAAGTTAACTAAGTTGATTGCTCGTTAGTTTCTCCTGAGCTCTGAACAAATGGTATAAAATTTGAAATTCATCCGGTTGACCAAAACCTGTATTTTTATGGTTAGATTGACAGGATTCGGTTGTTGATTTTGTTTTCAGTGCCAGGGATTGATCTCAGGACCTCATGATTCTAGACAAGCACTATGCTAATGAGTTATATCCCCAACCCCTAGATTAACAGTTTTTTAACAATCCTAACATTTAAATTTGAAATGTCTGTCTCTTGAACCAAAGGGAACGAGTTCTATTGGTTCACCTGTTTTGTGTGCAAGGAAGCATCATAATCCCTACACAAAAGATTTTAGCATTCTCACCAAAAAAAAAAAAAAGAAATGATGTTAGTGATGTAATGGATGCTAATTAACTTAACTGAAACTTTTATGATGTACACTTGGATTTAAACTCCATATTGTATCATATATATATATATATATATATATATATATATATATATATATAAACTCTCGTATGTCAATTAAAAATAAACTTTCAAAATCAAAAAAGAGGAAAGAAAATTAAAAGAACTTGAAATAAAAAGATATTACTGTCCACTAAATAATCTTAAAATATTATGATTATACATACAAGGTATTAAACCCATGCAGTTCTGTTGGTCTCTAAAGGGCATAACACATTACAGTTAAAGATTAATTGATATGGCTGATTCAGAACAAAAAGGCTAAGTTACCAAAAGAGAATGGGCATAAAATGGAATTGTGGAGAGTGAAAGTACTCTTTGTTTCTGAAAAAGAATGACCATCATGTTCTGCATGAGGGATACAGCCCTCTCCCAGCTACGGTCACTTTTTTACTCCAAAGTTTCCTCGTGGCGTTTTTCATTTCTGCATTCCGCAGGGTATAGATTAGGGGGTTCAACATGGGAGTTATGAAAGTCAAAAACACAGTCATGGATTTGTCAATGGGAAATGTGGAATTGGGCCTCGAATACAGGAAGATACAGGGGACAAAGAATAAAATGACCACAGTGATGTGGGAAGCACAGGTGTAGAAAGCTTTGCGTTTCCCCTCCAAACCATGTTTTTTTAGGGAGTGTAATATGACCCCGTAAGAAATTAGGAGAATCAAGAAGGTGGCAGTGCAAATTGCTCCTCCATTAGCTATCATGGAAAGACCAAGGAGGTAGGTATTGGTGCAAGCAAGATTCAGCAAGGGATACATGTCACACACAAAGTTGTCAATGACATTAGGGCCACAGAAAGGCAGCTGATAAATAAAGAGAAACTGAACTAAGGAGTGGATAAAGCCTCCAATCCAGGCCACCAACAGCATGAGAACACACACCCGCCGATTCATGATAGTCAAATAATGAAGAGGTTTGCAGATGGCCACATATCGATCATAGGCCATCACCACCAGGAGAATGACTTCAGCCCCAGCAAATAAATGATCTATAAAAATTTGAGTCATACAAGCATGGAAGGATATGGTCTTTTTCTCATAAAGCAAATCTACAATCATTTTGGGAGCAATTGCAGTAGAGTAGACTGTGTCTATAAAAGACAAATAAGCCAGAAAAAAGTACATCGGGGAGCCCAGGGACTGGCTGGCTATGATGGTCACCAGGATAAGCAGGTTGCCCATTATGGTCACGATGTAGATGAGCAGGAATGTGACAAATAGAATTTTCTGCCCTTCAGGATTCTGGGTGAGGCCCAGGAGGATAAATTCAGTCACATTGTTCCTGTTTTCCATATGATCCTCTGAAGCTGGTGAAGTCAGGCAGCAGAGCCTGCAAGGTAGAGGGCCAATAATGAATTTGAGATGATCTCAAGTTATACATTGAAAACAGAAAGGATCAGAGCATGCAGTGTGCAGGTAGGAATAGGCCACAATAAAAATCAGTATGCAATGCAATCACTGTGCAGTATCATAAAAAGGAGACACACACCAAGAAGAATGAGATGCCTTTCTCAATAGTATTTCCTCCCAAAGGCCTCACATAGAGTATTGCAGTAGAACAAGAGCATTTGGTATTTCTTCCCACGATTATTGTATTTATTTTCATAAAATTCTTCCTTCATCATTAACAATGAGACTTCAAGTTTCTAGGTGGCAGATGTATATGAAGGGATTTATCTACCACAGGATCTTCTGAATATCCATAAAGTCACTTTCTCCAGAATATCTCTCAGGAAGACTGCATTTGTAGCATTATAGAGTTTTTTTACTTTCCTGATGACATTTTGTTTCTCCAAGACCAATCGTGAAAACAAGCTCATGAGTAATTACCTCACTCCTATATTTATGCAAAATAATACTATTAAATAGAATGTAAAATTATAAGTCAGTGTTAAGATATTTGCCCATCTACTACTTCCCTATAAGTTCTAGCAGTCTAGGATTAACTCATAGCAATTAAGGAACCAGGACACTGTGAGTGCTCCCTGAATATTTATTAGGCTTTATTTAATTAAACTGAATTTCAAAGCTTGCCAGAAATCAACTGAGCAAAGATAAATAAATTAATCTATTCCCAATCATGAAAATAGAATTAAAGCAATGGATTTCATTAACACACACACACACACACACACACAAACTGAATTGACATTTCTTGCAACCTATGTTAGTGCAAACCTGCAACAGATTTGCAGATGGCCACATATCAATCATGGGCTTTCACCACCACAACAATGACTTCAGCTAACAATGAATCAATTCAGAAAGTCATAGATTTGAAGCAGAATTATGAGGAAAATCTCAGTATGCACATCACAGTGAATGGAAAATGCATAGACATATTCTCTACTTTTCATATTTATTTACATTCAATGAATCAATTCAGAAGTCAAAGATTTAAAGCAGAATCATGGGAGAGTAGAAAGAACTTTATACTCATAGTCTGAAAATATTTGTTGATTTTAGTTAAGTCATCATGGGAAAATTGTTTACTACCTTTATTCTTTATTGGAAATGCTGTGGTATTTTTACATGTATGAGTTTCTGAATGCTCATCATTGACAGCTTTGTCTGAAATAACATGGTCACATTTTTTCTGGTAGATCATTTTTATATTAATCAATTTGACTTAGCCTACTTTAAAGATCTTTTTTCTTGCCAACATGTATTTTCTTTTTTTTTATTAGTTGCTCAAAACATTACAATGATCTTGACATATCATACATTTGATTCAAAAGGGGTATGAATTCTTATTTTTCCACGTGTACAGATTGCAGGATCACATTGGTTATACAGCCACGTTTATACATACTGCCATACTAGAGTCTGTTGTATTCTGCTGCCCCTCCTATCCCCCCTCCCCTCCCCTTCCCTCCCATCACTTCTCTCTACCCCATCTACTGTAACACATTTCTCTCTCTTTTTTTTCTTCCCCCTCACACCATCTTATATGTAATTTTGTATAACAATTAGGGTCTCCTTCCATCTTCTGTGCAATTCCCCTTCTCTCTCCCATTCCCTCCCACCTCTCGTCCCTGTTTAATGGTAATCTTATTGGTCATCATTTCAGGAAGTATTTTGTTCATATTAGTAGTTCTTGGCTATCTGAGTTCATGCTGAATTAAAGACTTTCATTCTTACTTGAGGAAAAGAAATACTGTATTAGACCTTTCAGACCTAATCCTGGGCTAGTCTTATGTATAATATGTGCAATTTCTTGTTGGCAAGATTATTTTTACTATGCTCCTTTTCAGTGGTCATTTGTGAAAGTCAAGGGAATATTCTATCTTTTCTGTTTCGGGGCAAGCAAAGCTACACTTAAGCATCTGAGGAAGAGTAAAATTGTGGGCATCAAGAATAAGAGATAACTGAGTACAAGCAGATAGACCAACAAAGAGCATAAGCTGAATGAAAGGAATATGCTTCAAAATTTGTAAGAAGTTTGTTGGGGGACAGTGAACCTAATGAATTCAGAATAGAGATGCCTTACATCTCCTGGGCTATCAATAAGGAGGTGGCCCTAAAGGTATCATTAATATCAGCACTTGTTTCTGGAAATCTTCATACTTACAAGCCAAAGAAAAATGAAAAATCAGGTTCTGAACTCAGGTGTCAACAAAAAAGACCAATTGCCTATAGAAAAAGTTCCACCTTGTGTCTTCTGATGCTCCATATGTATAAAACTAAATATCTTCATTCACAGTTATGATTCTATATCTATATTTATAATGGAAAGTAAAGACCATTCACAGGAGCTTCTGAGCATTCAGAGATGACTTCTGGTAGAAAGTTCTCTCCTGTTGACCTGACAAATCCTTACAAAACTTTTTTATCTATAGTATTGTAACTGCTCCATAAATATTTCAGTATTAAAAAATATTCTTAAGGTCATTATTAAGATCGACTGTTAAAATCATTAATTTTTCTTAATGTCACAAAATTCTATACTTTGTAATGATAAAACTTGTTATAAACAATAGCTTTTTCCAAAGACTGAACAATAATAGAAATGATATAGCTAATACTTCAGGTCCTAATAAAAATCAAATCAGCTCATTAGATATCATTGAAACAAAATGGTTTTTAAAGAAATACCACATTTTTTTCCTAGTCAATTTCTTCATAGAAAATTAAATTGCTGTTTATAAAACCCGCATGCAGTTGAATGGACTTTTAGAACCAATAGAGGAAAGTAATAACCAAGGGGTAGGGCTTCCTGTCTCTTACATACAAAGTGTTTGCCAGTTTTGTTTTGCTTTGCCTAGTTATTTTGCATGGCTGGGCTGGGCTACCAGCACTAGTGTGGATATTTAGATATCAGATTCTAAATTCTGGTTTGGAATTTGAGCCTCAGAATTTGTTTTCCCATGGTGAACTTTGGATAAATTACTCAACATTGTCTGCAGAATGAAAATTGTAAGAGCATCTAACATGTAGCAAAATTTTAAGGATCAAATAATGCAGGTAAGAGCTCAGCAAAATGTCTGGTAAATAGAGAACACAGTAAGTTTAAGATATTATTTAGTATTATTTATTTCCCCAATATAGCTTTTAATTAAAGCCACATCTTTTTAAAGTTGTATGAATTTTCCCCAAATCCCTGTCTCCTAAGTAACCCAGTGGAGATAGTTACTTTCCTGGAGAATGAATTGATTGATTACATACATTGTATACAGGTAGGGAAAGTATCTCTCCTTTACCAATCACATCACTGTAGGAAAATCCATTGTTTTCTTTCTCCATACACATAACTATCTTTGAAATTCATCACTGAAACTAAATTTAAATTCAGGAATCTTTTTAATGAGAGGGTTAATGGGGTGCATAATGTCATATGCCCAGTTGCATTCACTACATTTTTAGGACTCTAGACATGAGAAAATGTCCATATAATTGACACATAGGAAGAAAGGCATTTTATTTAAGATTCCATAAATCTTGCACAACATTCATAACTTCTATTCCCACTGCAACATCCTTTGAAAGAGTAACTGTGGGTTCATAAATTAAATTCTCTGAACACAAGGTTTCACGTTTTACAATGAAAGGTTATTAATTTATACTTCAAAATGTAAGTTTTGATATTCAATTCATATGATATTATGGAGTTTACGTATCTAGATGTTAGTTAGGGGCATATACCTAAAAGGAATAGCAAATAAAGACCAGAAAAAGCATTTATACGCTGATGTTCATACCAACATTTTTTCAGTAGCCTAAAGGTGGAAACCACTCAGATGTCCATCAACTAATAAATGGATAAACAAATCATGGCATATACCTACAATGGAATAATATTTTATGCCATATTGAAGGTGACAATTTATAAAAACAAGTAATTTATTATATTCTCTAAATTATATAAAATGTATATTATATGTTTTATATTACAAAATATAAAGATAATAAATTTGTGTCATGCTATACTATTATATTGTACCATATGTTTTCTTTATTTTTGTATGTGTTTAAAATATCTCTAATGCAAAACATGGAGCAAACTATTGAGATTGTACTTATTCTAGCAACATTTCATGAAATGAAAAACAATGCATCTGCTCTTTTCTTGGTTTTGGCATAAAACTTTTAAGTAAATTATAAAATATGCTTCTTAAGAAAGTTATGCAACTCATTCAAATAAGCCTGTGTTGCTCTATTGATAATATTAGTGATGAGCTTTCATAATTATGTTACCTCTTTGATCACTGGCTCCAAATACACGCTTCTGCAGCTTTTACCTTTGGTCCTAAAAGATGATGGCTGAGTCTGATGACGGTAAGTCAGGACTGCTACCATGCCAATACAGAGGTGACTTCTATAAATGCTTTGTCACACAGAAACATAACTCCTGTAGTCTGCGTGTACTCTCAAAAGCATTTTACAGTTTAAATTATATATTCATCCAGACTTGACTTCAAGAATAATCAGTCAATATGCTTAATGGATCATCAAATTTGAGAGTTGCAATTGAGAATATAAATAAAAAATTTAATTGCTATGTTTGCTGACCAAATTGAACAAACCTATTTTTTTAGTCAATAGTGCACAATACTAGAGAATCGAAAACATAGAATTTTTTTGCATATTTTGAAAGCATCCACACAACAGTGTTAATATGGCTCATGTTTGCAATTATTGTGGCCTTTATTTTCCATCTTGACAGTAACATTAATACCCAAAGAGATTTTTTTTCTCCCAGGTAAGGAAAGATTTGACTAGGCACTTAATAAACAATGGATACCAAAATACTTCCCTGAGATGTTCAAATGGTCCCCAAGGTCACTTGTTCCAAATTAAATTCACCGAGGAAGTGTGCCCCAGAGAATGGATACTTTTCACATGATTCTTCCAATATATTGTATATTTTC